AAAAAAAAAAAAAAAAAAAAAAAAAAAAAAAAAAAAGCAAAAGTTAAAATATCAAATGAAAACAAAAAAAAAAAAGGAAAAAAAAAAAAAATCCAAACTGTATATATAAACAAATTCTGTATCAATTCGGCACCTTAAGCTATAAATAGAAAAGCGTAACTAAAATATTTAATTTTTTTTTTTTTTTTTTTTTTTTTCTTTGTTAATATTAAATATAATTTTACAACATATTAATTATAATGTACTTTTCTATATTTTCTTATACAATTTTATTAATACAATTCATCTATTTTGCATATGCATATTGTTACATTTAATTTTAATAAGTTTTTTCATGGTATTATTTAATTTTAAAATTTTTTCAATTTTCTTAAATATTTGATTTTAAATATAAATAAACAGAATACACTATATTATCATATTTGCATATATTAATAATTTTTTTTTTAATTGTTTCTGTTAAAGCATAATATGTATAAATAATAAATGAAAAGAGTTAAAATTATCTTAAATGATATCCACTATTATGATGTCTTTTTGATAAATATGTTCTTATAGTTAAAGGTGATGGGAATGGATTTTTGGAAATGTGTTCCCTCTTATCTTTTGGTTTCCATTTATTTTGATATTTTCTTGTTGGAGGATCCATTATTTTTCTAAAGGAAAATTCTGACGAATTCATAATACTTATTGCTTTATGTGGATCGTAATTTGCATAGTGTAGCAATTTATATGCATATTCAGGAGAAAAAGGAACCCATTCATCTATATTTGATTTCCAACTTTTTGCACATTCTTGAACGTAGGCTGATAATTCTATTTCATTTTTAACACATTTATGATAACCTCTATTTTTTAAACATCTTTCTCTCACTCTCTCTAACATTAAAGGGGAATAAACCAAAGTAGCTTCACCAACCTTACAATGGCATGGTAAACCTGAACAAGATAGGCAAATTTGATCATTTAACTCGTCGTTTGTATCATAATTTTTGTACATTAATTCTGAACGACATAAAAAAAAAGTTGGTAATCTTGAAACTTGGTAATTATCCCCTACATTTATTCTGCTACTTTCTTTTGAGCCCTCTTCTGTTACTCTCTTTTTTCTTTTCTTTTGTTCTAAAAATTATAAAAAAAAATGCAATAAATAAATCAAAAATGGAAAAAATAAAATGTATATATAAAATAAGCATACGTATTATATTCTGTAAAAAGATTTTTAAAATTTTAATTCAAAATATTTATTTATACTCAATTGTAAAATTCTACATAACTGTGCAAACAAACATAAAAAATTACCTGGTTCCTCTTGATGTTCGTATTTTTCATTAAAACGAGTTGGATAATTACTAAAATTGTTATTATCGTTGATATTAGTAGTTGTAACTTTGCTACTTTGATTATTAAAATTTGTTCCTGAAGAATTTTTCAATTTTTGTATATTAGTAACTTCTAAATGATCATTTGATGTATTAACTTTTTTTTCAATGCTTTGAGAAACAGATGAATTAATTTTTGCTGAATTTCCGTTTTTCACATTATTATTTTTATTTATACTTTTAGAAACATTAATAATGGCATTTATTTTATTACTAGGCTTCTTATTCTTTTTACTTCTATTATTTTTAGATTTTATATTACTTTTACTGTTTGCATTTTTTTCATTTGTTTTAGTTGCAGGAGACTTATTACTATTACTATTATTTCTATTAAAATTATCAATATCTTTATTATTATAATCATCTTTAATATTATTGTTATTGTTATAATTATTATTATTATCATAATCATCATCTTCATTATCCATATTATTATGAGCATCATTATTATCATAATCCTTATTATGATCATTATTGTTATTATTATCAATATTATTTTTATCATTGTTATTATTAAAATTATGATAATATTTATTATCATTAATATTACTATTATTATTATTGTCATCATCATTATCATTACCCTTAATATTGTCGTTATTATAATTATTATTATTTTCATTAATATTATCATTATGATTATTATTATTATTATCATCATTATTATTACCTACAATATTATAGTTATTATCAAAATTATTATTATTATCATTATAACCATTATCATTACCTTTAATTTTATCGCTATTATAATTATTATTATTTTCATTAATATTATCTTTATTATCAAAATTATTATTATTATTATTATTATTATTATCATCATCATCATCATCATCACCATTATAATTGTTATTATTATTATTATTATTATTCTTATTATTATTATCATCATCATCACCATTATTATTATTATTATTATAACCATTATTATTATTATTATTATTATTATTATTATTATTATTATTATTATTATTATAACCATCATTATTATTATTATTATTATTATTATAACCATCATTATTATTATTATTATTATTATTATTATTATTATTATTATTATTATTATTATTATTATTATTATTGCTGCTAATACCATCATTACAATTATTATTAGTACTACTATTGTTACAATAATTATTAATATCATGAAGGACATTACTATTAAAATTATGGTTATTAATTTTATTATTATCATCATTATTTACATAATTATTATTATTAAAATGAAGGTTATTACTATTGTTATTATTATTAACATCACTAATAACGTCACTCATATTACTCTCAATATTATTATTGAAATTACTACTGCTATTATTATTTTCATATTGTAAATTTTCTTCTTCTACATTTTTTCTTTTTCTTCTATTAAATGATATATTACTTTCTAACAAATTTTCGTATATAGTTTTTTTAATAGCTTTATTTTCTGCTACTTTTTTATCATTTAAATTATTTGCTTTATTAAAATTTTTTAATATTATATCTTGTTGATTACAAGTTTTATACTGTGCATACGTATTTATATCTTGAAATAACTTTTTTTCTTCTAAATTCTCTTCATTATATTTAATATATTCTTTTTTAGCACCATTTTCACATTTATTACTTTCAATTCCCAAATTATTATTATTACCAATTACATCCTTATTTTTACTCATATTATTTTCTTTTTTTGTATCAATAAAAATCTTTTTTATATTACTATTCTCATCATCAAATTCACTAATTTCATTTTCATGAATCTTTAATTTTTTCATTTTTTCTTTATAATCTTCTTGATTTTTGTTACTTTCTTTTTTTTCCTCATTTTTCATTTCATGATCACATTTTTTACTTTTCTCTTCTTCCCTTTTCATTATTTTATGTACATCTTCACTTGACCTTTTTTCTTTTCTTTTTTCTGTTTTTTCTAGTTCCTCTAGCTCCTTTATTTGTTCTATTTCTTCTTTTTCCTCATTTCTCCTTTTATTTTCTTCTATGTCATTAAACTCATTAAAAACACTATTTATTTTTTTTCTTTTATTTTCCTCTGTAATAATTTCTATTTTTTTATTGTTCATTTTGAATTCTTTTTTTTTTTCTTCTTCATTAGACCCTTTATTTTTTCTAAGTTCTCTATCACATTCAATATTTAAAATATGTGTGTTGTTATTAAATGACATTTCACTATAAGATTCCATTTTATCTTTTTTTTTATTTTTTTTTAATATATATTCTTTCTCCTTATCACTAGCAATTTCTCCTTCACTATCTTTTTTTTTTTTTTTTTGTTCTTTTTCTAGTAATTCTTTAATTTGTTTTACACTTATTTGTTTATTATTTAATTCTTTTAATTTTACTAGTACACCAAAATCATCAAAATTAATTTTATCATCTTTAAAACTAGCAAAATTCACAAAATTTTTTCTACTTTCCACTTTATCACTGATTGCATTTTTACTAATTTTAAAATTTTCTCTTCTAATATCAATATATTCTCTTCCCAAACTTATTGATCTAGTTATTACACAACCTTTTGATTTTTTTAAATCTTCAGAAATATAAAAAACCATTATATAATTTTTTTGAGTAAAAAAGGAGAAAAAGAGAAAAAAAAGAAAATAAAAAGAAAATATGGAAAAGTAAAATGAAAAATTAAAATAAAAATAAAAGAAAATAGAAAAAGAAAAAAAAAAAAAAAAAAAAAAAAAAAAAAAAAAAAAAAAAAAAAAAAAAAAAGAGAAAAGAAAAGAAAAGAAAAATATAATTAAAATTAAAATTTTGAAGAAACTCTTTTATTCTTATATACCTTCTTTCATATTAATATATTAAATGAATGTAGTAGCTCTTGAGTAAAAAAAAAAAAAAAAAAAAAAAAATTTAAATTTATAGAAAAATTAAGTCAAATAAATATCTCAATGTAAAGCTGTCTAAATTAATAACAGTTTTTTCTATTGTAATAAAAAAAAAAAGAAAGAAAAAAAAATTGAAATTAGAACGCGTTGCACTTGTAATTAGAATAATAAAAAGTAAAAATTTTAAACAAAAAAAATGTATACTTATATAAATGCATTTATATAAAACTATATTATAAAAATTTATTTTTAATTTAATTTTAAAGTAACTTTTTTTTAAATTTTGAGAGCACTAAATAGAGTAAATAAAAAAAAATATATTAAAAAAATCTTGAATCACATAACATTATAATCATTCAAGCAATTTATTTAAATGCACAAAATAATTACTATATAAATATTTTTTTTTCAAGAATATAATACACTTTTTTTGAGCTCTTATTTTATTTTTTTTTTTTTACATGCTTTTTATAGAAGATGTATATTTAAAAAATTACATATACGAAAAATTTTCTATTAAAATAAAAAAATATAAAAAACTTATTTTTTAAATATTATTAAAATATGAAAAAATAATATAAATATTTTGTGTTGCATTATTTTTTTGAAATATATGAATTATTTGTATGTAGAAAAGAAAGAATTTAAATAAACAAAATAATATTAATCAGTATAAAAAATAGTACCTATAAAATAATAATTAAAATAGTAAATAACAATGAAAATTAATAATATAAAAAATATTTTTATATTTTTAGAATAAAGGTATAGAAAAAAACTAAAATTACATTATATAAATGTAACATATATTAAAAAAAAAAAAAAAAAAATTGAAATAAAAAGAAAGAAATAAAAATAAAAATTTAATATAATGAACAAATAGATAATTTAAATAAAAACGTATAAAAAAAATTTTAAGTTAAAATATTCATATTAATTGCAACAAAAATTACGTATCTTTAAATATCTTACATTTTTCACATATATATAACAAATTGTGCCATTAATTTTACTTTTTTATGTGTTATAAATATGAATTTTACAAAAGAAGCAATTCTTTTTTTTTAAAAAAAAAAAAAAAAAAAAAAAAAAAAAAAANGATATTTTTAGAATAAAGGTATAGAAAAAAACTAAAATTACATTATATAAATGTAACATATATTAAAAAAAAAAAAAAAAAAATTGAAAAAAAAAAAAAAAAAAAAAAAAAAAAAAGCTAATTCTAACGTTATAGAAGTGTATAAATTATTTTTAAGATAAAAAAAATAAAATAATTTTTTGTTATATATTCTTAAAAATTTATATGAACTGGATATATTTATAATATATTAATAAATATCATATTTGTTTTACTATTTTTTACGTATCTTGAAGGTTTAGTTGAATTTATACTATTATAAGATAATTCTAGGTTCAAAAAAAAATTTTTAATATTAAGATTATTTTTGATAAATCAAGTTTTACAATAATTTTCTTCATTGTTGTAAAATTTAAAGTTATTTTTTTCACTATATTTATTAATTACAACACAAATTTTTTTTTTTTTTTTTTTTTTTATTTATATTAATAATAATTTTTTCTTTAAAACAATTTGTATTGTTCTCATTGTGATTCACAATTTTGTTATTATTTTTTATTTATATTTTTGATTAATATATTTTCTTTTTTTTCTTTTTATTTTTATTGAAATCATTACTCTTCAAGTAGTATCCATTCTTATTTTCCATTTATATTTTCTTTTTATATTTAAATTTAAAAATTTAAATATTTTATTAAATTTTAAAAAAAAAGCCCAAGTATTTTAATGTAAGATAATTTTTTTTTTCTTATTTTTTTATGAAAAGACATTAAAAATACTATTCAGAAATTCTTTTATAAAATATATTATTTTAAATAAAAAGTAAAGAAAAAGCATAATATAATTTATAAAAAATTATATAAATATTTATAAATATATATTTTATATATATTTATAGAAAAAAAATAATATAGATAAATATAAGAGACATATACTTAAATTGCAATAATTGTATGAATGAAAATATTAAACATAAATGTAAAAAAAAAAAAAAAAAAAAAAAAAAAAACTCATAATATTTATATTCTTTTTTATTTTATTCTATTCTATTTTCTTTCTTTCAATTTTTTCTAGCTTTTTTCAGTTATGCATAGTAAATTATTTATTCTACATATATATGTCATATTTTATTTTATTTTTTTTTTTTTTTTTTTTTTTGGTTTTTACAGAAATAATAATAAATTATTACATTAATGAATTATAATAAATAAAATTACTTTATTTTTAGATTTTTCTTATAAAAATATTATACCTATTTTATGTGCATATATTTAACATAGAAATATAAAGACAATAAATTATCGTATTTAAAAATAAAGAGAAAAAATATCTCTATTAATTATTTTTTTTTTTAATTATTCTCTAACTTTTATTTTTATAATATTGAGAAAAAACACATTTAGATATTTCTTATTTTTATATCTTATTCAAATTATAAGAAAACTTATTGGCAAATAATAGATCAGTTTTTTTATAAAATATTTTTCAAAAAAATTATTTTTAAATTATGCTTATTATAAAATAAGTAACGTTAGAAGAAAGTCTTAATAATAAAAAAATGACAAAAAAAGAAAAAAAAAAGAAAAAAATAAACCAAATATAAAAATTTTTACCTTTTCATTCATTATATATTGTTAGTATGTATAAAGAATATCTTTAATTTTTTCTTTTTTTTTTTTTTATCTTCCATTATTATACATATCCTCAAGGAAATAGAGAATATATTAAGAATTTTTTTTTCTTTTTTTTTTTTATATATTTTAGTAGAACATATATAGTAAAAATACAAAATATTTATATAATATCTTTATATAAATTACTAAATATCTTGGTGCATTAAAAATAAATCAGACAATAAATTAAAAAATAAAAAAAAAAAATAAAATTAAATATATTATTATAATATAAATATGTAAAAAAGTATAAATAAATATAATGAAAAAATAGTAAATAAAAATTAGTAGTACTATTGTAAGTATTTTATATTAAAACATAACCAAAATTTTATTTTTTTTTAATAAAAATAATATATATATATATATATATTACTTTAAAAATATATGAAATAGGTTAATTTTTTTTTCTGACTTTAAAACTTTTATAAAAAATATTGTTTTATATTCTAAATAAAAAATAAAATTTAGAAAAAAAGAAAAATTACTGTTATCAAATGATATCAAGAATCCTTTTTACAACTATAAATAAGCTAATAATAATATCTATATATTTTTTACTCTTGTCAGTTTTTTTACTAATACTCTTTAGAATAAGTCTTATACTTTAATCCAATACATTTATAAATCATTAAGTAGAAAAAATTTTCTTTTTTTTAATATTTCACTTTCTGTTGATAAATGCAAAAATATTTTTTATAAAATTTTCCATTTAAAAACAAAACAAAAATAATCATGAAAAAAAAAAAAAAAAAAAAAAATATAAAAGAATCAGAAAGAAAATTCTGTTATACAAATTTTTATGGTTATCATATTTTGTATTTTTTATAAAATATTCTTTTTAGATTAAAAAAAAAAAAAGAGTATCTTTTATTATTATTCATTTTACTATTAATAATGGTATCTATAATATAAATATAAATATATATATGTATATTTCTTTTTTTCCACATTTTTTTATTATATATATATATATATATATTACTTTTTTTTGTAATACATTATTTAAGAAGCCTAACTAAAAATATTTCCACATTAAAACAATATTAAAATTTATATTTTTTTAGAATGAACATAATCAGATAACTATAAAAAAATATTTACACCTTAAAAAAAAGAATATATATGTATCTTTAAATTTTTTTTTTTTTTTTTTCAATACATCTAAGTAATTTACTAAAGATTTTATAACTTTATGTTTATTTTTATTTTATAAAACATATTTAAAAATAATTTAAATTAATGCACGTTATGATAATATAAAGTTATAAAAAAAGGTATTAAAAAAAAAAAATAAAAAAAAAAAAAAAAAAAAAAAAAAAATTTTAAAAA